ACATTCAGACACTTTCGAAATTCCTGAATCCCAATGCATCCGAATGTGTCCGAATCCGAATTTCGGATCCCATTCGAATTTCGTTCAAAAATGAAACTGAATCGGACCTGTGACTTTTCTAGCCAATCAGATGTGTTTTTCGGTGTAATGCATCCGAATGGGTCTGAACACAAATTTTCATTGCGGCAACATGTGATCCATATACAGTATATACATATAATGCTAAAGCTGAGGCTCCTATACCCGAATGGCATGCGGGATCCGAATTTCCCCAACTGCATTCTGGAGCTTTTCCGCAGCTTATATGTCTATTGATTAGGTAATAATAAGTAAATAAATAGGAATAAGCACTTGCCAACTTCGTAGTGCTGCTTTAACTAGTCTAGATTAAATACATAGAAGGGAATTTATCAAAACTGGAAGAGACAAAATCTGGAGCAGCTGTGCATGGCAGCCAATCAGCTTCTCTCTTTCATTTTCAAATCTTAACTGAACAAACTCAAGAGAGAAGCTGATTGGTTGCCATGCAGAGCTGCTCCAGATTTTGATCAATTCTCCCCATACTGTATACATCATTCATACTGTATACGTACTTAGGCACATCAACTTAGGTACCTAGGCGCAACTAATTCCAAGTAAATTCATATGCCATTGATCAGTTAATATGTAAATAAATAGAAATAAGCACTTGCCAACCGCATAATGCACTTTTTTATTTTATTAGTCATACTTAGTCAGGCACATACTCACTAACTCGAAAATACAAGGTTGACGTGCTTGTGATTCCTTTACAATACTGAGTTATTCTTTGTGCTTTCATGGGCAAAATAATTCCACTTAGAAGGCTGTAACGTCTTTATTTTTGTAAAGGGCTGAGGTACACCATTAACACAGGCAGCATTGACCTCTGTCTCTTTTACTTAGCAGTAACCTGGAAGATGTAGAATTTCAAGGCAAGACAGCTGTTAGAACACACTGCCATCACAACATGATTAAAAATATTAACTCAAAATACAGATAGACAGTATACACTATCATACTATCATTTATAACTATGTTATAATGGCAAAATTCAAATAATCTAAAGATTTTTTCCACCATGTAGAAGCATTGAGCTTTGTGTAACAAATTAGGGGAAAGAAAATGACTAATACAAACGGAAAGCAATTAGAATCCAGCTGTCTTTTAGAGCTTGTTCAGATCAGCACGGCTGCTGGTGTGCATGTGGATGGACAGTGTCAATGCGGTCGATTGAGCTGGATTGCATGGTTTGTTTTTCTTGTTAGAACTTTGCTGAAATGTCACAAGTAACGTTTCATTAAGTTTTATGGGCTCAACGAGGTGTGATATGGCTGTATTGCATTTTACGGCAGTGCCATACTTTTCCTAAGCGCATACCACCGGAGCGCGGTGGTATGAATTGTCACCACCCATGACAAGGCAAATTGTGTTGTCTTGCGTTCAGGCTGGGCTGGAAAAAAATAGCCAGCAGACCGCAAACAGACATGGTGTGAATGAGCCCTTATTCTGGTGCAGGTTAAACATGAGTATTTATTGGTTGTTATGTGTTGCTTCTCCATTTTTAAAGGAGTTGTAAAGTTCCAGCATGTACTATACTTTTATAACATCAGCATTGTAATAGGAATACATACTATAGTTGTTGATGCCAGCTATCCAAGCTTACTTGAAAAATCCCTTTTATGCAGTAAGTAGGGATGCACTTAAAGTTTGGACGAAAATGTCACTTTTGGCAAAAGTGCCATGACAGCCAAAAATCCAGTGTATTCCTAGATTTTCTCCTCCCCCACCACCCGCCCCGCCTCCTGTGACAGCTGATTCAAGCTGATCGCTGAGTGTTTGTAAATAACTGGACATAGTAAGCTTACTATGTCCCAGTTATGAATAAATGGGAAGTGATCTACATCACTTCCTGTTCATTCATGATTGTGGACATAGTAACTTACACCATATCCACAATGTATGAATGGACAGGAACACTCAGTATGGAGCAGGGTTTCAAAGTACCAGCGCGCGGGCCAAGGCCTCGTACCTGACTTGCTAGAGCTGCTACACAGCCTGCATCTCTGTCGGATGCAGACTGAAGAGCAGCTCTTGGTTGTGCCGGTGTCAACACCGGCACTCAGTTCCTTTCGTCTGGTGCTCTTCACTGAGCGCTGGCCGAAAGGATGGATTAGTAAGATCTGCATCAGCCAAAGGCGCAGACTTTACTAATCAACCACTGGATCACCAGGGTTTGTGCCCCCTCGCCTCCTTCCCGCAAAAAAGTAAGCAGGTGAGGGGTCTCTTTCTTTATTTTCTTTACATTTTACAAGTGTATATGGTGCCTTATTGTGTGTGAATTAGTGTGTGTATTTCTGGAGGGGATGAG